TTGATGGAGGAGTACATGGGAGACAACGAGGACCCCCACACCCTCCGACTCCAGTTCCAGGAGATGATGGCGGACTTCATGTTTGTGATGCCTGCACTCCAAGTAGCACATGATCAGAGTGAGTGTGTCTGAACCTGAATCCTAGATTCCTAGGAGACAGCTGAGAGCTATGGGTCCCAGGTGAGGCCTGATTTCAGGTCCTGACACATGTCTTTATCTAGACCCTGGTCTCAAGCACCTGAAGGCCATCATCTCAGTAAATCCTGATGACTAGGGTAAGAAATAGACATCACACTCATTTTACAGAGGAGGGGACTAAGGTAGTGGCACTCAAGGACTTGCCCGTGACCATGCAGCCAGGAAGTCCAAGATATGAATTAACAAAGAGTCTTCCAACTGCCCCTGATCCATTCTGGGCTTCCAAGCCACTGTGAAGATTCAAGCCCACTTTGGACCTAGCAATCTTGCCACCAAGAGTGACACATCCTGTCCACCCTCCAGGTTCCCATGCTCCTGTCTACTTCTATGAGTTCCAGCATCGGCCCAGCATGTTGAAGTACATGAAGCCACCACATGTGAAGGCTGACCATGGTGACGAGATCCTCTTTGTCTTTGGTTCCTTCATCAGTGGCATGAGTGGTGAGCACTCCTTATTCCACAGGAGCATTCTCATGACTACAGGGTGACAATTGCTCTCATTGTAAAATGAAAAACTTGGGCTTAGAGAGAGAAAGGGATCCAGTGTCTACCATCTTACAACTCAACAGGTCATTCCAGGCTTAGAACTTTCTGATTCCAATCTATGCTCCTTCCACCTGTTCCCACCCAACCTTGGTGTCTAGCATAAGAGAAGAGGGGGTTGGGTAAAAGCCAAGTCATTTCTTAAATGACTTCACAGTGTCCAAAAGAAGGAAACTTCTAGGTTAAGGAAGAGCCCAATGTTGATTCAGTTAAAGGCTTGGAGTAGTAAAAGCAGGTTGGGCAAACTGAGGGCCTGGCCCCAGAACTGTTGTGATAGGAAAGGAACACAAGTCAGGGCTGGGGTGGTGAGTGTGGCACAGGAGTGGACAGCTGGATGGGGTTGTCCAGGACCTGGACCCTGCCTTTCTCCTCCCACAGTTGAGCTCACTGAGGAGGAGGAGCTGCTGAAAAGGAGGATGATGAAGTACTGGGCCAACTTTGCTCGAAATGGGTGAGGATATCTGAGCCCTTAGCCTCCCAGGGGATATGGGCCCTCCACTGTTCCTCTTGTCAGAGGTGGCCCCATTAGAAATTGTGTGTTCTTCATCACATTCTAGCCTCCTCCCCAATCAGAAGACCCACACTAAAAGAGGGTGCTTTTTGGGTACAGGTCACTGGTC